ACCGCCTCCACTACGATTTGATGAACCAAATTTAAAACTTTGAGAAATTATTTTTAAATTTGATATATTTGGTGGCTTTAAACTTGTTCGACTACTTTTTTTTAATTTAGAGGTTATTGTTTTAGCTGCTGACGTTGATGATTTTGTTGATGTTGGCGTTAATGATATAGGTAATTGCTGCTGCTGCTGCGCTTGTTCTTGCTGTTGTGGTTGTGGTTGCTGTTGTGGTTGTGGTTGTGGTTGTGGTTGTGGTTGTTGATTTTGCTGTTTTTGTTGTTGTTGATTTGTTGTTGTTGTTAATTTATTAGAAGAATCTTTAGCATCTGAAGAAGAAGAAGAGCCAACCAGAATATCGTTATTGGTATTATCGTTACTTTTGCTACTGCTTCCAACATTATGGTTATTACTTCCACTATTATTGTGAAGTTCTTCAACGCCACCAACCGAAGACATTGTACTCCAAGAAACTCTTTTAGTGTATTTTTCTTCTTCTAAATCTTTAAGGGTTGTGGCAGAGCGTAAATTAAGTACTTTTGGAAATCTACGAAGTGTATGTGTTGAATGTTGATTTTCATCATCATCATCTTCAATATATTCCTCTTCTTCCTCATCATTTTCAGTATTTTTATTATTTTCTTCTTCGATAAAAGGTACTTTTTGTTCAAGTGAACTCGTCGCTGTTGCAGTTGGTGGAGTGGTAACTATTATACTAGTAGCAGTGGTGGCTGTAGTTGGTGTTTTAGGATGGGACCCGTCATCGTTATCATCATCATTTTCCTCCTCCTCATTATTATCTTCAACTTCAATAACAGGAACTAAATCCCAGACCTTAGTATGTCTACGTCGAGTAGGTTTATTATTGTTACTATTATTACCACTACCATTACCGCTACCATCATTATTAATATCATTACCGCCATTTGTATCATTTACATTTTGTTCTTTCTTGTGCTCGTAACTTTTTTGTGTATTCTTTTGACTTTCATCATCTTTGTCATCCTTATCATCGTCATCATCATCATCTTGAGTTGAAGAAGAAGCAGTAGAAATACGATGTGGATGATGGTAAATGTTTTTTGAATCGGTGATAGGTGTAGTAGAACTAGAACCTGAAGCTACAATGTCTCCTACACCCCCTCCTTCTTCATATATATCATCAACAGTAATATTTTGATTACCATAATCACCATCATCGTCGTCATCATCGTTTTCCCACCTACCAAATTGACCTTCTTCATCTAAATCTTCTTGTCGCAACCTATCAAAATCTTCATCTTCAATCGATTCATCAACATACGAAAATCCATCAATATGAAGATAGTCATCTATAGTGCTACCGTGACCAATAGAACCAGTATTTTCGCCACCTTTATTAGTTTTGCCATTATTGTTGCGTCTATTTTTTTTACCTTTTTTTTTCTTTTTTTTATTGCGACGTTCAAAACCGCTCGGGCTATTAACGGGATTATGAACTTTATCAGAATCACTGCTACTATCATCATTTATTTCATCAGGTGAGGTAGCACATAACATTTTTATACCAGTTAGTCTATTTGTAGTATTTGTATTAGCGTTAGTAGTCCTATCATCATCATCATCATTGCTAGTGTTGTTACCACCTCCAACACCTACGCCACATAAACCAGTTAGTCCAATACCAATACTACTGCTATTAACATCATTATTGTTGTTGTTGTTGTTGTTGTTGTTGTCATTGTTGTTGTCATTGTTGCTCGCGTCTTCAGTGACTGCGGTTGGACTTTTATTTTTATCGGCTATAGATAGTGCTTTTGTTAATCTGACCATTGTATTTGACATCTTTCTTGTCCAATACGATCTACCACCGCTATGGATATTAACGTTGCCAGGAGTTGGCCCACCACCAATATATGCCGGTGATGAATTTCTTCTTCTGCCAGCAATTCCAATAGCGTGATCAATTTGTGAAAGGTCATTTCCACCAATTTCCGTCACAAAATCATCTTCTATTTCTTCATCACGAACATGTTCATGACCAATGTTGTTAATTTTCTTTTTTTCACCAACAGTGTTTTTGTCATCATCTTCCTCTTCATCGTCATCTTCGGCATAACCACAAAAGGCTTCAGAAAATGACATGCTTCTTTTTTTTCTTGAACTATTACTACTATTCCGAAATTTTTCTAGTGAAATGGTTGACCTCAATTTAGTTATTTTAAAATTTTTTTTAAAAAATAATAAACTTGGTGAAAGAGGCGGC